ATATATGTATATATATATATATATATATATATACACACACACACATGTATATATGTGTATACTCACACACACACACATATATAAATGAGATATGAACAAATAATATACGTAGATACAATTTATATATTTTATATATCATTAAAAATGAAATGTATAATAATAAATAATTATATAAATGATTATATAATATATAAATATTATACATTTTTAGATGTTATTTTACTTAGAAACTCATACATCAGAGATTTTAAAATAATAATAATAATAATAGAATATATAGAGAAAACATTTTGGTTCTTTAATATGAGCAAATATCGATTAAAACATACTTAAAACATACCAGTGGGTCTTCTTCTGATTTTCCCTGTGCAGGTTGCTTGCCTGAACTGCCCTCCTGAGATATATTGTACCCGTCGAACCCTACGTCCTCTGGCCGAAGTCGCAGCAGGGAATGCCACTCATGTTGCTGTGGACTTGCCACCCAAGGGAAGCTGTCCATCACCCACTTGGCCGGATCCTCCCATGCTGCCTTACGTCCATACATCTGCAGAACACATGTACAGTTATTTGTTTATTTGCTTTAGTGTCCCAATATTGTAATGATGGACATATGATGGAAGGCACCTTACCAGCAGCCCTTCTCTGACAGCCTCCAGCATGTAGGGGAGGATGGAGTAGTTCCACAGATCGGTGAACCACACTCTTGAGCCTTCAACATCCATTGGGCAGGATAGAAAAAGTCGAGGTCCTGTGATGGACAAAAGATGTTTTACACAAATCAATATATTAAGACAGTTTAGAAAAGTTTCATAATACAGAAAAGTGTTCTTTTATTTATATAAAACATCATTAGGAGTTGAGAAATTCTCAGGAAACCATTTGAATAATTGCGCATAACAGCATGTTTCCACACTCACCAATTGTGACATCGGAAGAACTATGTATTTCCAGGAAGCGGTTGAGATGATGCCAAACACATGGGATCCACTCAATAATCTTAACTAGCTCACTGTTCCTCACACGACTGCTGATCTCAGTTTCTAGAAGCTTCCGTCGCAAGTACCGACCCAGAAAACCTTTCACTGGCTCAGTATGATTGGCACATAAAATCCACCTGAAATAAGAGACCAGGTACAAGACCAGATCCGCCTTTATCTATGTATAATAAGCTTGAGCAAAATAATGCTTGCGGGAGCTCTTGTGGAGACTTGGGGTATAGCAACTAACTAACCCCAGTTGTATATGATATAAAATAGAAAATGAATTTATTTTATAATTTATATATTTAAATTATTATACAAATTATACATATATATATATATATATATATATATATATAGGTTTGCAATCACAGGAATAAATTATTTTGTAAAATATAGTAAAACAGAATATATATATATATATATATAGGCTGTCAAATCGATTATATAGCAGAAAAAGGTTATTAAACAGTATAGATAAAATTCCAAGTTATACCCTAGTTATACCCCTATATTTTACATATTTTTGTACATTTACGTATATAATTAAGCAAAAATGGTAAATTAATAGTAATTTTAAAAATATTACAAAATAATAGCAAATTGAAATCTGACTGAGATGATACCTAAAATTATGATGAAGCTGTAGATTTGGAGTGGGTGATGGAGTTTGATTCATGGTTCCAATGATGTAAGGACTGTGAGAAAATAATACAATTAAATATACATGAAGTCTACTGGGAAACACGAAGATTTAAACAAAAAAAAGAAATCTGCATTTTCAGTTTTTCATTGATATATAAACTGTTGTGTGCGTTGCTCACCACTGGTGGTTCTTGCAGTTGAGCAGGCCGTTGAAAATCTCGGCCAGTGAAGTGACGTGGTGAAGGTTATCTAGTATAAGCACCACAGGCATGTCAGCAGCATGTACATTGTTTTTACACTGGTCTGCCAGGTTGGACAAGTACTGCTTCAGCTCCTATATAAAACACATTGTGCTTTATTACTGGAAATTTGCAACATGCTGAAAGCAAAACCTTGGATTTTTGTAGCACTTGAATAAATCCGCCCACAATTTAACTAACAATGAAAATTATTAAATTAATAGGATATAAATCTGTTAAGTTCTGTATTATTAATTCAATCAGTTTAACTGACCTTAGTAGTTTTGTTATCAACATTGAAAGTGGCGATTGCTTGATGTTCCAGCTGTTTTCCCTTTTTTAGGACCATGTACTCGGCCAGTCTGCTGGCTAGAAAGCTTTTCCCTGTGCCAGAAGGCCCTGAAAAGATTATCCGTCTGTACTCCTCAAGCTGAGAGATGTATCGCTGCAGA